GTTATAATTCATTCATACAAGCTTTTAAAAAAGTCATTTCATTAAGCATCGGAATAATCAAACCGAAAATCACTCCAATTATCTTATCCGGAACACGTTTTTACAAAAAAAAAATTAATTTCCAGTGCAATACTTTTTAATTGCAAATCGATTTCTTAGATGAAAAGAAATATTTATAGTTTTGATGACTGGTCAAAAGAATTGTGCATAGATATTTGGAACAAAGATTGATAATCTACCAATGTGACCATCATGAAGTGGGAAGAATGAAAAACTTGCAAAATTGTACAATTCTAATAGTTAATGTTCTTATCGTGTAACTTTAAACTTGAAAATTATTTTCTTTTATGTGATAATATTGATAATCTCAAATGCCAATATGCAAATTGACTATGTTTATCGTCTTTTCTCATTTTCATTATTTTTAAATTTTCCTATGCACTGCTCTTTTTTCTTTCAGGGATTTGCTAATTGGAGATAAAAAAAAATTTCTAAGCAAGCATACAGCATATCAAAAGCAAAAAAAAAATCAGGAATGTCACTTTTATTTGCTTTTATTTCATTATCATCGATATTAGATTCTTTCGGTATATTTTCCATTATGCTAATTGACAACCAATTTAAATATAATAGTTGATGTTTTTGACGACAACTAATTTAAACATAATAGATGATGTTTTTAATTGTAAATTTCTGCAACAAAGTGACATAAATGATCTTGAAGTCGAAGAATTTACATAATTCAGCATAAAATAATCAAAGATATCTGAAAGCTTTGATCATTATGTTGAAAAATGTAATCGACGAAAAATTCAGGAGACTTATTTAACATTTTGTTTTCTACAGGCCTTTTCGGTTATGTTCAGATATGACAAAATAAAAATAGAAATTATAAAGTAGGATTTAAAAAACCTACTGAATAAATTGAATACAGAGTTAAATTTAATTCAGAAGCAATAGCAATGACAATAAGCCCAGGTGTGGCTTGTGATATAACATGGGATACAGGGATGATCGAAAGTCCAGATGGAAATTCTAACTCATACATGCATTGCGTATCTATTGGGTTTAAGTCAGTTTTTGTTTTTTTTAATAAAAAAAAAGTTACAAAAAAAATGCTAACTGTAAAGAAATATTTTGCTTTTTCAGAACACTAGGCATATGGAAACTGGAATCTTGCTTACCTGGCTATACCTTTCAAATCAGTGAAAAAAGATGTGTACCTAAGCAGTCTGCATCGGCGGCTACAAGTAATAAATCTTTCGGTAAGTAAGCTAGTTTATAAAATTTGCAAGTATACAAATTTATGCAGTTTTTTATCCAATTAAAGTTATATTAAGTTTCTGCAAATATTTCCCAAATACCTATCATCTTCTAATTTTCCGCAACTATTTGTGACGATTTCTATTTTTTACGCCTGTTTCATTTTATCCTATGTTTTTAGCCAATAAGATTAAATTTCATAAATAAAGAAATGAATAAGACGAATGAGAAAATAATGATTGCAAATAAAAAAACTATGATTATGAAACAAAAAAATTGAGATTTTTCTAATATACCATGATACCATTAAAAAAATCTAAATACACTTTTCAAATGAAATTTTTAACAGCTCTGCAAAAATATTAATATAATTAATAAAAATTCGTTCAGTATAATTTATAATATTAAAAGTCTTAGTTTTCTTATAATTGTTGTTTGTTAACATTAAAATCACTTATATCATCACTCAATATATAAATTTATATTGTTCTATATGATATAAACTTTGTTTTAAAAGTATAATATCATTTGATGAGTATTTTTTTGACAATTCGTAATCTATTAAGCTAGCAAAAAGACCATCACATTCGTTTTCGATGCATTAAATATTTTTAACGGTATAAACTTATTCCTTCCGTACAAAATTTCGTTATAAATTTAAGTCATTTGTAGCAGTTCTCAATAATAGCTGCGCGAACGGTGAAGAATGTATTGGTGGAGCGATTTGTGATTCGAGCAGTATGCGATGTTCGTGCCCTTTTGACACGACAGCTGACCCGAATACTCTGTCCTGTGTTCCGTCTTCATTCAAATCATTTCATCAGAATGTAAGTTACGCGTAATTTTCACAATAATTATTTTCTAATTTAATTTCCTACCTCATTCTTATTTTCATGTTAGTACAAACAACGTCACATTACCAAAATCGTATAAGCCAATTCTTTTCTATAAATTTCTTTGGATCAAATAAAATTCAGAACGAAAAAATTAACTGAAGTTAGAGTAAGAATGAAGATAAAATAAATTAAAAATAAAAATTAACCATACTATATAAAGCTTTAATTGCTAAATTTTTGTACGGCAAATGATGTTACATTGAAAAGATTATATTGATTGCATAGTTTCAAATAAATTAATAATAAAATTAAATCGATTAACAAAAAAAGTTGAAAAAAAACACGATCAGATGTAAAATTTAGTTTACAACAAACATAAAAACTAAATTTAATGTTTACCATCTTTTTTCCCGCATTTTCATAATTTTAAAATAACAAATTTATATCTTCTATACAATTCATTTATTTCCAAAAATTAAATAGCGTATTGTATAACTTAGAAAACTGTATACTTTAAATAATCAAATAGCTATTTGGATTCCTGTTGATCGATCGGACGAGGAAAGACATTTATTAAATTTGCTGATTTTTGATCATTTAGAGCTATAATGCATACTCATCAAATGAACACAAAATAATGGTAACTACCGAAAGCAACATATTACCAAATGTTTTTAACGGTAAATTGAAACAAACTTGTTTTCCTTTTTTTTAATTATCTTTTAATTTTTCTGTTTATCAATTTTTGAATATCTCTAAAATCTGCAAAACAAGATGAGATTACTAAAGCATTTCTTGATCAATTAGTAACCTATCGATGAATAGGGCAATTCGAAATATCCCTTGCACTTTTAAAATATCTCGTTTTTATGCGTATCAATTACGTCTTACAAAATAGATTAAAATAGTTTTTTTTCTTCAAATAATTTGTGAGCGTGTAATTTGTAGTGCGAGTGCCACCGGGAAGTAGCTGTTCAAACAGCGAAATATGTGACGGTGGTTCATTTTGTAGTCTTCCAACAAAATTTTGCCTCTGTCCTGATGATATGGAAGATTTTAAAGGTCAATGCCGGAAACCTGAACGGTCCATTTTCCCAGCAATAGGTAAGGTGAACTCTGAAACTTTGTTGAAAGTAATTACTAGGAATAAGTATCATTCAATTGCTTGACTTATGTCTACGACACTTATTGGAACTGAAGAAATCTGCAAAATTTGGCAATATAATCTGGAAGATTCTTACGAATAATTTAGTGAAATTTATAAGGTTCGAAAAGATGAATCATTCGAATGCGATAAGTAGTTATGCGATGCGATTTCTAATTTATACTCTTTTCTTATTAACTTCAGAAAAAAATCACCTTCACTTTCTTGGTTTCATTTTTATTTCTAAATAAAAAAGAGCAAAATTTAAATGTTCAGTTAGTTTGGGTGATAGCTGTAGCAGTACAGTACACTGTCGAAACGGTACGACATGTATCGATGGTCAGTGCAGATGTCCGATTCCCCTGGTTCAGGAAGGTGATCAGTGTGTGAAAAAGCTCGTGCCATTCAGAGTTGGTAAGTTGTTTTCTTCGTCAACCATAATGCTCATTTCTTTTTTAAGTAGTGAAGAAAGCATATTATGTATATATTCTGAAATATAATTAAAATTTTGTCAGTTATTAATTCTGGTAGGTCCCGGCGAAATGTGTAATGAAAGTCAGGTATGCTCTCGTGGATCGACATGTCATCCAATCATTCCTGTATGCATCTGTCCGGAAAACACTGTTCTTCAAGAAAACTCTTGCGTACCAGTTGTTTCAGGTAATAAAGATTTGAATTGTCATTATTTTATTGGTATATATAATCATAACTCTTCTTAAATCTTTAAACTTGGCATTGAGAAATTCTGAATTGTGCTAATTGACATAATAAATAATTATATCTGCTAAAATTCACCACACAAAAAGACTTATTGGATCGAGAAGTAATCCAGTTATGAATATGTGGATACAGTCAGAAATTGTAAGTAGTGATGCCGAAGTTTTCAGCAATGCCGAAGTTAAATATCGAATTTAGTGGAGCAGGACAGGTTGCTGTTGGATTTCCATGTCATGCTAATACTGACTGCAGCAATGGCGCCTACTGCAAAACCAATAACAATTCAGCCAGTTGTCAATGTCTTTCAACCCACGTCAACATTAATAATATCTGTGAAAAAGGTTCCTTTTTCTATCAAATACAATACTTAAAACTTTTATTGCATAAATATATGAAATGCTACGTGAGATATATCACAATTTAATGTTTATATATTAAGATTTGTTTCATCGATAATGTTATAACCGATCAATCAGTCCAATGATATGTGATGTAAAATAAATTAAAGCACACCTGTATTCGCATACAGTCTTCCTTGTGCTATCTCAACTTTATAAGTATTATGATTTTAGTGATATATCCTGGACAAAGTGGTTGTCATCATGATATCCAATGCTCGGCCAGTTATGCTTCCTCTAAATGTTTTGCTGGTCAATGTATTTGTCCAGATGGTTTTAGTGCTATCGAGCAAACTTGCAAATCAGGTTTTGATTATGACTAATTCGAATCATAAAATTTTTCTTTCCAATACATTTAAAAGAATTTTATTTTATTCATGTTTAACTGATACAAGCAACAAAACAAATAACTCATTAAGCGAAAAATGTAACTTTTTGAAATACTGTGCTCTTTATTTGAGCCAAAAAAGTTAAAAACTAACGAGTAAAACTTTCCGAGACGCCTACTAATTCACTTCTATGCTATTAGGAGAATTATATAATTAATTAAAATTATCAAAAGTGACTGGCACTCAATTAATGAAATGTTATACTTCAGAATGTTTTCATAGACTTACTAAAATTTATTATATATTTCACCAAGATAAGTCTAAAAAAAGCTTCGAACTCTCTTCAATGATTGCAAAATTTTTAAAAATATTAAGTTTGAAAAAATCTTGTTTACTGAGCGAAAAGTAAAGGCCTGATATTAACTTTTTATTATTGAAAAACAATGCTGTAATCATCCTACTTGTTATCTGTACTGAATTTGTCATTTTAGGCACCGTTTAAAATTTATAAATTTCCTTATCATCAACCAGGCAAGATTTCACCGATGCATCTATTCATATTCTTCATGCAGCAATTCTATGAGGACTAATTCATTAAATACAATATTTGTTCAGTTTAACATATTTCCTCTTCTCTGAATTATTTGTTTCATTGGTAATTTGGATGTTAAAATGCATGATATGATGTTATGCATGATTAATCCATGTCACGAAACTTAAATACTCATTCACTCTGCTCTATCACTAATCGAAATTTAATTAGCATCATTGCATCCATTAGTTTTCTTCTGAAAGCGTACCTTTAAACTTATCATCAGGCTTAGCAATCAGAGAACCGTACACAGAAATTGGCTTATCTCAATGTTGGTATAATTGTGATTCCAGTTGTCAAATTCTGTTAGTATTGACAAATGCAAATTCAAAAATAAGAAAATATTAGATAAGGGGAATTTAGGCAACTTAATTATTATGGCTCATATTTTCCCTCTTTTGTAAGAAACTGAAGAAATTTCTAATAAAAATACGGTATGAATATTTAACTTTTAATTGTTTACTTATTTTAACTCTCAGATAAACAAACAGTGCAAATACCACCCGGTGGAAGTTGCATGATTGATGAAGATTGTACAGGTGGTTCAAAGTGTCAAGATGGTTGGTGTATTTGTCCAGAAGTTTCTATGAAAGTAATCAGTGGCAAGTGTAAAAAGGTGATAATGAATTACTGATAGTTGGCTTTTTGTTTCAAATGAGGATTTTTTGATTGTGGCTGCGGCAAATGAAATAATCTCATTAATTGTATAGGGAAGACTTTTAACTGTAAATGAAAGTTGAAGATGCGGCTGAAATTTTCTAGAATAAAACTGCAAGATAATTACATTCATGTATAAAATATAAATGAATTACTTAATCTTTTATATGTGACTCAGAAAATCGAATTTGATCATAGTTTGAATATTTTAAGAAAAGATTTACGGTAAATTGTTTACAGGTCTATGGAGATTCACTGCCCACAGAAATGCAGAATAATTCATTAGCAGTAAATACCTTAACAAGCGATATTAAAGCGACAATTCCGCCAACAAGTTCGTCTTTTAGGCATTCTAATATTTTCTCGTTAATAAAACTTTTCAATTAACTTTGTGCATCGGTAAAGTCTTTTCATTTTCACTCAGCATGCATTTTATTGGTAGCTCAAGGAAATATTATTTTGAAGAAATAGATAATTTCAAGTCTTCGCTTCATAATCAGTTGTCATTTGCAACTGCTTCCAGAAAATTTTGGAAGATATTTTTCAAAAAATGCTTCCAGAAAATATCTTAGTTTTATTCGAATATACGAGGAATAGTGGGCAATTCTCTCTCTCTCTCTCTCTCTCTCTCTCTCTCTCT